ACACTGAAACGCGCGAATCCTCTGCTGCACGGGTACCAGATGCATATATCAACTTCAGATAATTTTCTCTGGCCACTCTCATTTGAGCCACTGTCTAAACTCCTAGTATCCCCCTTAATAACCCCTATAGTAGCTCCCTATGTAATCCCCCATATAACCCCCTTTAAGGAGTTTAGACTACAGATCATTTGTTCATCGGAAGATGCGACGCAGATGGCATTAGCATGGGATGGTCTTGCCCGCTTGGACTTTCTGGCCGCAGAAGACACCCATGGCGCATCACGACGCCTTCTCTCCAACGTCTCGGCCTGGCAGCTGGGAACCACTACTGAGCCAAGAAGATTGGGGGCAAGCCCCGAGCGAGAACTCACCACCTGCTGACCTAGCTGCGCAGTAGTTTCGGAGGCCTGTCGATTTGGTTCCGCGCCATCTCCGGAGTGAAATCCTCGACCAGCGCTCACAGGCCGGCCCCGCCAAAGAATTGAATGCTTTCAAAGCAACAATGGAACGGTGACATAAACTATCCCCTTGCAAATCCTGCATGGAACGGCAATGAACAAACGACCTGCTCTAGATTCGAGAAAGTTTCATGTCGAAAGAGCACTACTGCAACTTGCCCGTTCCGAGTCTAATCACCTCGTGCAGCCTCATTGAGCGGCAGTAAGTGTTGACAAACCTGTCGTTGTAACCAAGCAGGAACGAGGCATGACAGGTCTGCCGCATGCTTCAATTAGTCGCCGGGTGACACCATTGTTCAATTGAGAGTACTCTGCCCAAAGATGCCCAATGACATCGTAACATCCGCGAGATCTGAGGGACCTGTCGCCGAGAATCCTCTCAATCAGGCAATGGGCCCTAAACCAATACGTCAGTTAGCGGGCTGGTAAAGGCACCGCGTCGTAGTCTTGCAGTCTTTGAACCCTGCTGCGTTGCTACTTCCGTTTAGATGCTACAAAAGCCCGAAAAGTATCAAGAGGGTGCCCGCAAAACAACCCGAATTCTCACAGGCAAGCTCATAACTTAACACTTCAATGGTGACAAAAACCACCACCTTAGACTGCAAAGAGCAGAGGGGCCGAAGTTAGCCTTCACGGCTTTGGAGGCCCCAACAACGTCCGTGGCTGTGTGTTTGCATCATTGCACCTCCATTGCACTACAAGAAGTACAGCGCGTGCGGAGGTCTGCTGAAGAGCACTGCAGTAGAGGAAGAGTCCCGCTTGTTCACATACCCAGAATGCATTCAAACCAAGCGCCCAGCGCGCGAGCTCAGGCTCGAATATCAGCCACGCAGCATGAAGCACAAAGAACGCAAAGCCCTGCTCGCCGCGCAAGCCCAAATTGTCATTGGACCAGGTCTGAGTTTTCCCCCACAATTCAAAAACATTTGGAAATCCACTGCCTTAATGCGCAGACTGGATTACAAGCCAAGACCTGTGACTGTTACGTGTCAAAATCCAAGGCAAGTTCCGAGTATCGAAGGGTGTATTTGACTCGTTCACCTCACCGTAGTAGAGTGAACGTTTGCTGCACAGGAGCCCAAGTTGACACCACTCAGCAGGAAGAAATTGCAGCCCAGAAAATCGGAGCACAACAGAATTGCAAGACAAGGCCCCTCGTAGAAAAGATTCAAATCACCATGGATTCAACTCGTACAGCTATATAGGATGCTATAGGCCTACTAGCCTGCTGGCAGTTTTGAGCCAGCGTTGCCATTTTGGCAGATTAGGCTACAGCAAGCGTGCAACTGATTTCAGGCATTTGTTTGGTTGCGGTGCCGGGTTCTAGAGGGTGCTTGGACCTTGGAGGCTGCGAGCGCCGGTAAGCATAGCATTTGGGGGCATGCGGAGTTGAAGCCTGCGGCAAGACTCATCATTCGGTAGGGTTGGGTCCCCCAATCTGTTGCAGAGCATTGGGGCCCAAGCCCGGTCAACATTGAGATGTGTTTGGAAGTTCAACATGCACGGCGCACAAACACAATCCCTGCCCGCCCTCCATTTTAACTCAAGACGCCGGTTGATGCATGCAGTCCTGGTACCGCAGCGACCTGTCGCCACGAACCCGGGCGTCACGCCGTCCGGCTTGATCCTGCACACAAGGCAGCACCCCGATCATACCAGGGTGGAGTGGGAGGGTAAAATTTTCTATGCTCTGCCTCGGCGGGATGCCCACAGAGCCTAGATGATCACAGGGGCGCATATCCCCCCCATCCTCCCAATCAACGAGTGCACTAGCATGTTACTTCCACAATGTTCAATCCAACATGCACCGTGCACAAACACAACCCCTGCCCGCCCTCCATTTTGACTCAAGATGCCGGTTGATGCACGCAGTCCTGGCACCGCAGCGACCTGTCGCCACGAACCCGGGCGTCATGCTGTCCGGATTGATCCTGCACAAGGCAGCACCCCGATCATACCCTCTGCGTTGTTTTCACTTCGCGGTGCTGCTAGAGTCCGAACTAGAATCGCTCGAATCAGCTTGAAAGCATCTATCACATTTACGTGCCCCCTCGGGAGCTTATCAGCTCTGACAAAAGCGTCATGCCATGAGGCCAACCGCATAAGGTCCCCCAGGTGTTCGGAGGATGCAGGTATCCATCAACTGAAGCGCGATGCCAGGTTTTGCTTCTGTCCGGATTCTGGATGTATGCACTTGGCGCCGCCAGCAGCTGCTTCTTGAGAGTGGCCACTTCTTCCAGCACCATCCGCTACACAGGACCCTTGATCCTGTCAGCGATGAATTCCGCCCGCTCCATCTGCGTGGGTTTAGCTGCCCCATGCCTTTTGACCTCTTCCAGAGCTTGGGCCAACTCATCCAGTCTAGAGTGCAACTCTTGTTGGACCTTGTTCCTCACATAGTCGCGGCTCATCTTCTTCAGAGGGGCAGTCTTTGCGTAATGCACCAGCATGGCGCTCTTCCAACGCGCCATGAGCTCAATCTGATAAAGATGCACGCCCTCGCTTGACAGCAGAACAGCTCCGCCAGCGCGCATAGATTGACCGCCCAAGAGCTCGTTGCCGTCCGAGTCCTTGACTGCCAAGCCTGCCCGACAATGCCAGACTTTAAGTGTCTCCACCACAGTTTCTTTGGCGGCGGCCTCGCCCTCCGAAGTCGGAAAGAAAGGAAGGCCAAGCGGCAGTTCGCCGTCAGCGTTTCCAAATCTCTCTGAGAAACTCCATCTGCCTCACCGCCGCGTGAAAGGGGCATTGCCATACTGTGGATGGAGGAAATCTTGCACCACCTAGACAATTGGCATCTTCCATGACTTGACGATGCATCCCCGTACCCCCTTTTTAACATTGGCAACTGTTCTGTCTGAG